CCATCTCCTCTCATCATAGCCCCTTATATCGTAGAACTCATGACCTCTCATACTACTACCCAATCTCCTCATGTCACAATCCCTCTCGTTGAGCTCGTGACACCGATCACTCATATCACTACCCAGCCTCCTCTTATCATGAACCCTAATCCGCAGTTCCCTTTCACCCAATTGCAAATTCCGATCCCAATTTTCGGGCAATTCATGTAGATAATTATCGCCACAACCCCGACGGAATATCTCATCTTTGAAAATAGGATTTCGCTCAGGATAATCATGGATATTCCGGAAAGGTATATTTTCTTGCCCTGGAGGGGGCGGCGGCGGCGGAAGTAGGTCGCGATTGAAATAGGGTTTTGATAATGGCTCAAATTCGTGATGATAGGGTCTTTCACGATAGGGTCTTTCAATAGGGGGTTGCGGTGGAGAGAAATTGAAGCGCGTGCGAAGAATTGGTTGAAAGTTGTCACGCGGAGGGGACCGCGGCGGCGGCGGCGGTGGTGGTGGGAGACAAATATGCGGAGGGAGAGGTTGAGGCGGCGGTGGAAGGTGGTGGCTATAGGGTGGGTGTGTAAATTCAGGAGGGTGGACGTTTCCGTACCTGATATGGTGGTGCTGTTGGTGGCGGAATAGCGGCGGCGGCGGCGGCGGCGGCGGAAGATCCATAACGCGTCGTCGTTTTGTCGGAGTCTGCGATTGCTTAATTTTTTCGTCCGCAGAAATTTTCAATTTTGGACGGCGGAAAAAGATTCTTTTGACTTGTTTTCTTTTGTGAGCCAGTTCATTGTGTATGAATTATGACGTAACCCCTTACGTCATATATATATTACCATATTTAATTAATCCTATTTAAGATCTTATTGCGATACTATTTTGTGATTATATAATTTTATATTTATAAGAGTTCGATCAGATCTCGCACCAAAAAGGCGAAATCCCTCGCCCCCAGGGCCCCCATCCCTTGGCCCGACAAGGATTGATGGAATCGCCCCCAGGGCCCCCATCCCTTGGCCCGACAAGGATTGATGGAAGAATGTAAATCATGGTAACTCAACGGCCCGTTAAGGTAGCGGACCCGGACCTGGTGCCCACAAGGAACCAATCTCATTGGAGTTGAAATTCCCACACTGCGGCTGCCAGGATTCGATCCTAGGACCTTGCACCAACTTACCACCTCCGGAACCAGTTGAGCTACACCCATGCGGGAGTTCGATCAGATCTCGATTTCAATAATTCCGGTCAAGAAACAAGAGATTGTAAAATAATAAATCTTTATAAATAATATATTTCCTTTTATGTTAAATAATATTTTAATTTATTTTATTTTATTTTGGCCTTAACTAATATATTTATTGGGCCTATTTTTTAATGATACCCAATTTAAGCTATTGGGCCAGGAGAGTTAATTGGTCCAAATACTTCAACTATTTAATCGTGGATGTCCACTAACTCGGATAAAAGCTCTCTCTTTCTACTCAGCTCTAATTCATTTGAACCGTGATGCTTTTCTCTCTACTTTCTTCTCTTTCTACAGTACCTCTATACAGGGGCGGATCCAGGGGGTTTTGGGTGGGGGGTGAAAAAAAAGTTTTGGGGTAAAATGGTATAAAATTTTAACTTTGGGGGGCTAAAGTGTATAAATGAATACATAAATAACCCAAAATTTAAAAAAAAAAAAAAAAAAAAA